ATCAAATCCGTAATTGTTTGATCCCTCCAACTTGCGAAGCAATTAGGGTTAGTAATTTGCTGCGTCAGGAATTAATAACCTTACGAAGAACATTCAACTAAATTAAATACAACCGCTTGTGTTTGTGTTGTTTAGCTTCATCGATCTCTCTAATTCTTAAGGCTGCCACTAGATTAAATCTTGAGCGCTTGTCTAGGGTTGTTTAGGGGTAAGATTAATTAGGATCGCTTGTTTCCTGATTAATTACAATTAAGGAGAGATAGGAAATTAGTTCCAACGGTGAATATTCAATGTGTGAATTGATTATCTTCGCATCAATGATCAGTTGTAAGATTCCGATGGTGGATGTTGATGGAGACCAAGTTTTGTTATATTAATTGATTTCGAATTGAACTGTTCTTTTTGTTTTTGGTTTTTGCTACGAACGTTTCCTGTTTTACACAGAACCCCCCAGCCTTGTTCACATAACAGCAAATTCAGCTAGACACTCTTCGTGGGATCGACCCTGACTTACACTACTACGTGTATTTTTAGGTTTTAATTCTGGGTGCCTACGACAGCACATCAAACTGGTATTTACTGTAGCTACAGTGTGAGCTAAGCTATTATGAAAATCTACTGAATTGAACTTGTCCAACCTAATTTCATACTTCTGCCACAGAATTTGGGCTTCTTGCAAGGACACTGAGTCAGTTCTAGATTCTATTTTTGAATTAAGATTTACAACAACAGCATCATATTCTGGACATAGTCCATCTAAGATATACTAGAGCAAATCTTCCTCAGAAATAATTTGTCCACTAGCTGACAAATTGTCAGAAATTCCTTTCATCTTTCTAACATATTCACTTGTACTAAGATTGTCTTTGCTAGTATTCTGAAGTAAATTCTTTAAATGTAAAGCCCTAGCTTAAGAGTCTATAATGAATTCTTTTTCAAGAACAAACCAAATTTCAGTGGAATACTGACATTTGGAAATAGTTCTAAACATATTCTCAGAGATCGAGCCTAACAACCAGCTTACAAGAAACTTATTAGTTCGTTTCCATAGAGTATAAGCTGGATTAATCTTTTCTTTAGAAAACAACTCAACATCTTGACCATCAGCAGTATCTTTAGAACTATCAGAATTGCTAGGAATTAAAGGAGCTGGACAGGGAACTAAACCTATTAGATAATCTTCCAATTCATGAGCTCCTACTGCAAAAAGTACTTGAGAGAGCCAGAATCTGTAATTGTCTAGAGTAAGCTTTGGATTAATAACTTGGAAACTAGAGAAAATAGCTGAGGAAGTGAGATTAAGAGAATTGTTGATAGAGTTGTGAAACATTTTGTTACTTTGTTGGTTGAATCGGAGCTATCAAAGTTTTCCGCCATTAACATTAGTCAAGGATGCTCTAATACCATGTGAAGGTTAGGGATTTGAGAGCAAAATCAAAGAGGAAACAAGAAAAATAAACTTTCTTGTTGTATTCGATAAAGTGAACAGTGTCACCATTTATTAACAAAATGTTCACAAAAGTCATTATTACAACAAAAAAATGATGGCACTTTAAGCTTTCTTAAAAAGTCACTGTTTGTCTAACAGCCCCTGTCAAGCTAAACTCTACTTGCAGTTTCAGCTTGGTCATATTTTTCCAACATTGATACTATGTAAATATTAGAAATTGAGAGAGAATTTGTTCTGAAAAGTTTTATTAAGCTCAATGAATTGAAGAAGTATAATAACTGTTTTTATAAAAAACTTTAAAAACTCAAAAATGGTAGCACTTTGATTCAGTCAAAACAAAAGCACTTTGTTTAAAATCGTAGCACTTGAGTTAGAGCAAAACAGTAACACTTTGGTTAGAGTAGAATGGTAGCACTTTGGTTAGAGCAAATTGGCTGCACTATAGAGATAAGAATAAATTTTGTCAATAGCCTTGTGGTCATGTTTATCACCTACAGTGTAGCGTGAAGTGGTTGGAGATAGTCATATTTACCCTTTATGCCGCTACAAGATGTCATGTTCAAAGAATCAGTACAAGTTAGGGCTAAACTAATTTCAATAATGTACAAGTTGGATCACTCTACGATCAAGGCTACCCGACGAATTAAGCCAACCTTCATTTTGGGCCGCTCCATGAGTTAGGTCACTTTGTAGTTTAGGTTAACCCAAACTCCAGCCCATCAGTCTATACTTGTTCCACAGTAAGATTCAAGTCCCATACGAAACCTAGTTCATCCAAGACTCATAGTCTTATATGAACTAGAACTCCTAGTCTTACTTAGACTAGTACTCTGAGTTTCTTGTTAACTCAAACTCCTGATACTATGTGAATTCTGAGTTCTACGAGGAATCAAGCTACCTTAGCTCACTATATAAACAGATGTCTGCCCTCTCATTATGGATTCAATTACAACACCTATCTAACTTACTAAGTTCTTGAATGGACAAAACAAGGAACCAGTTTTTTAATTGGTGAAGGTGTGTTCTCAATGCAACTCTTAACTTACTACCAACTGGAAGAAATTATATGACTCCTTAGATAAATAAGAAATGAAAGAGAAATTAGGAGAGTTTGGGAGAACAAGAAAGAGACTGGAGAAATGAAAAGTTTGACTGTTTGAGGGGTTTCTTCCTTTTAATAAAATGGAAAATGGACATCCAAGAGTCAAGAGGCAATAAAGTGGAAAAGGTAAACGAGCACAAGGACACTATAATTCATTTTGTTTAGAAAACAGGGACACTGTTTTTTATCCTTAGGGATTGTATTTGTTGCTTTGTTATATATATAATTTTGTCCCTAATTATTTGCCTAAAAAAGACCAGGTATGCTGTTAGGCTCCCCAATTTTAGTTTATGTCTGTCAGGCTCTGACTATTAAATGCATCCTGAATAGCCAACTTTGTGAACCAAAATGTCTATATGTTTGGACCTAGTATTGCATTTATGATTTATTTATTTGTTTTTTTTTTTTTTGGATAATCCATGCTGATCTGAAGTGTAAACGCCTCCCTCCATACTCTAACCATACCACCGTTAAATAATGAAATTTATAATTAAAATCTTGAAGATGGATTGCATAATATGAAATAAATAATAATCTATACTCTAAAACTGGTATTAAATTCAAAATGGTTAGAAAACCTATAAAAAAAAAAAAAAAAAAAGATCATATGTGAAGCATCACATATGGGACTTACATAACATAGCCTCGATAACATTAGGGTTTGCTAAGTTGCAAATTTATTGGTAACAAAATATCGATCTTCATAATTATTTCTTGATTTTGGAAGAACTTTGTTAATCACTTGCTCAAAATTCTTGTAAGATGACCATTAGGAGCCGTAGTTGCCTTTTCTCCCAACAGTTTCCATTCCATCGCTTTCTTTTTCATATGTTTGCCCTTTTCTCCATCCATCAATTCTCTCGCAAGTCTTTCAATTTCAACTCTGTCATCATTAGATTCTAATTCCATGCCAACATCCCATTTACTCCTTAAAAACCAACAATTAGTCAACTGTTCAGAAAAGAATGGCCAACATATCATAGGCACGCCAGCACACAAACTTGCCATCGTAGAATTCCCACCACAGTGCGTTAAATACCCTCCAATCGCTAGGTGAGTTATATCTTCTTCTTGGCAACACTAACTTGCCAAGAAACCCTTTTCTTTGGTTTCTGTAATAAAATCCTGAAGAAGAACAGCTGATTCACCCTCCACCATATCAGACCTAATTACCCACAAAAAGGTCTTCTCACTATTTGCAAGACCCCAAGCAAATTCAACAAGTTGATGTTTTGTCACGGTAGTCACACTCCCAAAGTTAACATAGGTGACAGAGTTTGGTTCCTTTGAATTGAGCCACTCCATACATCTTGGTTCTTCGACCTAGTAGTTTAATCCTATAAAACTAAGAGCTTTATCATCTGGCACCTAATTCAGAAGATGCTAAAGTGGACCAGTACTATAGATACCCAGAAAAGTGGAAGAAAGTGCTTCAAAAATCTCATGCTCTAAATCATCAAAGGTATTGAAAATGATTACAGTTGTGTTAGAAGCATTCTCCATTCCATTCATGCAGACATTTACCACTATTGTCATTCACATCAATAGATCGGAATAAAATTGAAAGGTCCTTTAATCAATGCCTTCCATACCGTGTATCCAATCAATTGCAGTATCCAAAAACCCATTCTCAAATAACTGGGATCTACAAATCAAAAAGAAAAGGTAAAATTAGTACAAAAATTTTTCAAACTACAAACTGATGAAGTCATGATGCTTTGCTGGAAATGCAATGTTCAAGGGCTGAAGTTTGAAGTTATTTTTTGGCGCCAATAAAGAGAAGTGTATTGTGCAGTGCTGGAAGCAATAGCTTATGGGCAGCCGGACAACTTTTTGTGTTGTAATGTATTTAGGTGAATGCAGCCGAATGTAAGGCTTTATGTCTCTTAATTGAATTACATTAGTTCAATTTGTGTGGTTTAGCTTTAATCATGTAAAAAGTTCACTGCTATAGTGGTTGTAACAGTGAGCTATTTAGTATTATATTATGTATTTGGTTTGCTTAATAAAACATATGTTGTTTGCACTCTTCAGTTTTTTCTTTCTATGTATAATTCAGCACTCCAAACAAACAAAATGGTATCAGAGCTATCTCACCCAACATCCATATAAACTCAAAAAACTGACCTTGAATCATCATCAGCCTCCAGCCTCTTTAAAGAACAACTCTGTCCCAAACTATAACCTGTGTTCATGGCAGCTCAGTTAGCCTTCCTTTCACCGCCAGTCTTCAATGGTGAGCAATACCATATTTTGGCTGTTAGAATGAAAGCCTATCTAAAAGGGCAGGGGCTCTGGTAGTATGTTGAGGAAGAGAAACAACCTCCACATCTGGGTCCAAATCCCACTCTAAATCAAATGAGGCTATATGAAGAAAAAATGTCCAAGGCTCCAAGGGCACTATCTCACATACATTAGACAGTGATAAACCTTGTATTTACAAGGATAATGGCATTTGAAATAGCAAAAGAAGCATGGGATAAGCTGAGAGAGGAGTTCATGGGAAGTGATACAACAAGGAACATGCAAGCGATGAACTTGAGGAGAGAATTTGAGATGTTGAGAATGCAGGAAGTTGAAAAAGTAAAAGATTATGTGGATATACTTATGAGTGTGGTTAATAAGGTCAGGTCACTTGGAGTAGAAATGACTGATAAGATGATTGTTGAGAAGGTGCTAATGAGCTTGCCCGAGAGGTTTGAATCAAAGATTTCATCTCTAGAGGATTCCAAGGATCTGTCATAAATTAGCCTCACTTAGTTAGTCCATGCATTACAGGCTCAAGAACAAAGAAGATTAATGAGGCAGGAGAATCCTAATGAAGATGCTATGATGGCAGCTCAAAGAGAAAAGAATGTGTAGGGAAATAATAAAAGGTATGCCAGAGATAAGAAAGGGAAAGAAAAAACCAGTAGACAGTGGGGAAAACCAAGTGGAACAACGGGCTATCCACCATGTCCTCACTACAAGAAGAAGGGTTACTCAGAGAATAGGTGCTGGTTTAGGCGTGGGATCCAATGTAAGGACTGCAAACAATTTGGCCACATTGAGAAGGTGTGCAAGAACAAAGGTACACAGCCACCATAGCAAGCTCAATTTGCAAAGGATCAGCAGCAAGGTAATGAGGCTGAACAATTGTTTGTAGCTTCCTATTACACAGTTCAGACTAGTAGTGAAATGTGGTTGATAGACAGTGGTTGTACCAACCACATGGCAACCAATTTGTAGAATTTCAAAATTGGGAATACAGAATATGTGGAGGCCAAAGGAATTGGTGATGTTGCTATCCTAACACAATCAAGTACCAAAGTTATCTCAAATATTTTGTATGTACCAGAAATTACACAAAACTTATTAAGTGTAGGATAAATGCTAGAAAAGAATTATTCTTTGCATTTTCAAAATCAGTCATGCATCATACTAGATATTGAGGGAAATGAGCTGATGAATGTGAGAATGCTGGGAAAGAGCTTCCCTGTAGAGTGGAAAAAGTTTGAAAATTATGCACTGACCAATAGGTTTGAAGAGTCTGAACTTTGGCACAAAAGACTTGGCCATTTCCACTATTTAGGTCTCAGAAAACTCAGGAGTAGAGACATGGTCCTAGACTTACCTAAAATATAAGAGAAGAAGAACCTTTACACAGCCTGCCAGCTTGGCAAACTTAGCAGGCCATCCTTTCCATCAGACCAGGCTTGGAGAGCTAGTGACAAATTACAACTGATCCACAATGATGTGTGTGGTCCTATGAAGACCGAATCTCTGATTGGAAGCAGGTACTTTATGCTATTCATTGATCACTTCTCTCGGATGGCTTGGGTATATTTCTTGAAGTAGAAAAATGAAGTAGCTATTGTATTTACAAAATTCAAGCTGCTGGTGGAGAATCAAGCTGAGACAATGATCAAAGCCATAAGGAGTGACAATGGGACAGAATATACATCAAGTGAATTCTGTTCAATCTGCCATAAACATAGAATTCAGCACCAATTTACTACTCCTTACACCCCATAGTAGAATGGGGTCAGTGAAAGGAGAAACATAACCATCATGGAGATGGCAAGATGTATGATTGTAGAGAAGAAGCTCCCCATGAAGTTCTGAGCTGAGGCTGTCAATATAGAGTTTATCTCTTGAATAGACTACTAACTAAAGCAGTCAAGAACCAAACCCAGTTGAAGCTTGGAGTGGAATTAAACCAGCAATGGAACCTGAGGATATTTGGGAGTATATGCTGTGTCATGGTTCCAACAAGCAAGAGAACTAAGCTGGATGACAAGGTTGAGGTTGGTATCTTCATAGGATACAGTAGCCAATCCAAAGGTTACAAAGTTTACATCCCTGAGTCTAAGAAAATTGTGATTACAACGGATGTAAAGATGGATGAAACTACAGTTTGGAATTGGGAAGAGAAGAGAATAGATGAGGGAATTAAGCCAAGGCAGGAAGAGACAATAGGGGAATTGATCCAAGAGGCAGATTTTGATGAAGAGGAAAAACCTTCAGTGAGAGGGACGAGATCTTTAGCTGAAGTGTATGAAAGGTGTAATTTGGCTATGGTTGAACCTTGGAATTACAATGAAGCTGCAAAGTTAGAAGTGTGGAAGGCTACAATGTTGGATGAGCTTTCCATGATAGAGAAGAAGAACACCTAGAAATTGGTTGACAAACAAGAAAAAAGGAAGGTGATCCAGGTGAAATGGATTTACAAGATGAAAGTTAACCCTGATGGATCAATCCATAAACATAAGGCGAGACTTGTGGTTAAAGGTTTTGCACAGCAGCAAAAGGTTGATTTTTCTAACACTTTTGCTCCTGTAGCCAGGCATGACACCATCAACCTATTACTTGCACCTGTAGCTCAGTTTGACTGGAAAATTTTCCAGTTGGATGTTAAATCAGCATTTTTAAATGGTTGGATTACAGAGGAGTTATATGTGGAGCAACCGGAAGGTTATAAGGTGAAAGGAAAAGAGGACCAAATGTATTTATTGAGAAAGGCTTTGTATGGCCTAAAGCAGGCTCCTAGAGCCTAGTATAGTCGGATAAATTACCACTTATGTAACCTAGGATACACTAGGAGTCCTAATGAACACACACTCTATGTTAGGAAGACTAAAAATGGATTGACATGGTCCCTTTGTATGTTGATGACTTGTTGATTACTAGAAGCAATTCTAAAGAATTGAATCAATTCAAAACGGCCATGCAAAATGAATTTGAAATGACAGACTTGGGGCAGATGACTTACTTTCTTGGTATGGAGATAAGTCAGTCTCCAAATGGAATTTTTGTGTGCCAACAGAGGTATGCAACTAAGATACTGAAGAAATTTGGCACGGAAAGTTGTAAACCAGTGGATACTCCACTAGTTCCCAACCTAAAGCTAAGAAAAGAAGATGGTGCAAAGAAAATGGATGAAGGGAAGTACAGAAGTCTGGTGGAATGTTTGTTGTATCTCACAGCCACTAGGCTTGATCTCATGTTCACTGCAAGCGACCTTTCTAGGTTCATGAGCAACCCAAGTAAGCTGCATTTTAAAGTAGCCAAAAGAGTCTTGAGGTATTAAGAGGAAGTACCATGTTAGGCATCTGGTTTAAGAAATCAGAAAACTTGAAGCTATTGGGGTATATTGATAGTGACTGGGGTGGTCCCTGGATGGCCTAAAGAGAACCTCTAGTTATGTGTTTTACATAAACACAAGTGTAGTTGGTTGGCTGTCAAAGAAGCAAGAGGTTGTGGCTCAGTCCACAGCTGAAGTAGAGTACATCTCTGCAGCTGCAACTGTAGCCGTGAACTAAGCTGTATGGCTAAGGAAAATTCTGAATGATTTGCAGCAAGTTCAAGGAAGTCTAACACTAATTTTGTGTGATAATCAGTCTGCTGTAGCCATGTCCAAATCTATGGCAGAACCAAGCACATCAAGATTAAGTATCACGTTGTGAGGGAAGCTGAACAATGTGGGGAAGTTAGTTTGGTGCACTGCAGAGGAGAAAATCAAGTTGCAGACATTATGACAAAAGCCTTGTCCAAAGCCAAGTTTGAAGACTTAAGGCTAAAACTTGGTGTTTCCAACAAAAGCATCAAGGAGGAGTGATGAAGTCATGATGCTTTGCTAGAAATGCAATGTTCAAGAGCTGAAGTTTGAAGTTATTTTTTGGCGCCAATAAAGAGAAGTGTCTTGTGCTGTGCTAGAAGTAGTAGCTTAGGGGCAACTAGACAACTTTTGTGTTGTGATGTATTTAGGTGAATGCAGCCGAATGTGAGGCTTTATGTCTCTTAATTGTATTAAATTAGTTCAATTTGTGTGGTTTAGCTTTAATCATGTAAAAAGTTCACTGCTGTAGTCGTTGTAACAGTGAGCTGCTGAGTATTATATTATGTATTTGGTTTCTTAATAAAACATATGTTGTTTGCACTCTTCAGTTTTTTATTTCTTTGTATAATTCGGCACTCCAAACCAACACAAACAATGAAAGAAATTTTATAGGTTATTACCTTTGAGAGGGAACAAACCCTTTTCTTTAAATTTTGAAACTGTCTATAACCCATGAAGCCACAAGCATTATTTGTCCATAAAAGAACGTTGGGAATATTTAACTCTTGAACAACTTTAAGAGTGAAGCTCATAATGTAATCAGATACTATGCAAGTGACTGGAGGAACATTTGTCTTAGATGTGTTGTTGAGTTGAGATAGAAGATCTTTAAAGGGAGCCAAGCAAGATTTCCTTATTGAAGCACAGAGAGAGGCAATATTAAGTTTAGATTGAATATCAAAATGAGGGATTCCATCGAGAATGGTCTCGAAACGGACAGTGGAGATGCCACTGAGAGAGTCAGTGCCTTGGGTTCTTAGTAAAACACTATGGATAAATTCTATGTTTACAAAGGTGATGTGGAAGCCTCTATAGTGCAAAAGTTTTGCTATTTTAAGCATTGGAAGTACGTGGCGTAGACCTGTGAATGGAACACAAATTGCATGAGGACGAACATTTTCTGAACGGATACAGAACCCATTTGTCACCTAATTCAACTCAACTCTTTCTCGATCTGTGTTTTTTTCCTTATTAACTCAATGCTTATGGTAAGATTTGTTAAAGTAGATGCCCTAGAGCCAATCAATTATTGTAGAATTGACTCTTTGTAATAATGTTCATTAATCAATAAAAGGCGTTTTATTCTATATCGCGTAAATCATTATTATTGCAATATGTATTGATATATGTCCTTAGAATGGTAGAACCGTGACGAGGGTATCAAGTGTTTCAAATCTTGATAGTGAGAACCCTATGAGCACATATGGTGGCCATTCTAGAAATGTCCGTAGCCCCAGTATTATTCTGAACTAAGGGCACAGATAACACGGTAAGACTATCATAGTGTTGAACGACCCTATCGAAAGGCAGTTACTGATCTCACTTGTCAAGGTTGTTTGGTGACAACCTGGTGCAACACATGGGTGCTTGCTGTAGGCGTTTTCACCGCAGCAAGTTCACTGGACTGACCCACCAGAGGATTCCATATGGATGGTAACCCTAGTGTCTATGGAACAAATCCTCTAATGAATGGTGGTGCATGTGACCCTTAGACTTGAGATCACCGGACCGCCTTGTGCACCGATTGGTGTAGTTTGACACTAGCCTAACGCAGTTCTTTTCAAAGCTGTGAATACGGTGGTGATTGGCTGCATCAGAGAGTGTATCAAGACTATGGTGGATTGACAGAGGATTCATCCGGGTATGGGAGAAAGTTATCTCACGGCGCAATTCAGTATATGGCAATGACACTAAAACTGTGGCCACAGTGGGATTGAGTTGTTGCTCTATCCAGTTTATAATACAGGTCATTGGTCCAGAAACTGAATAAATAATATCGAGAGTAACCGAAGGTTGACACTATTTATGTGCCTTCGTCTCGTCGAGATAACGTATGATGAAAGGATCGAATTGCACAGAAACCATATCATTGACAGGTAGCTACTTTGCTGAATCTGAATCTATCGGGTGGCCATGATGCCTTGCTAGGGGCCAATCTTGGTCTGTGTATTAGTGAGATGATTAATTGGTGTTAATCACGATACTATGCACTGCCGATATGATGAGGAGCCTATGGATTACACACATAGAAGACAATTTAAGATCCAAGAAGAAAGAATGGCGTTTTCGTCTTTTAAGGCGAAAGGGTATTTTGGTAATTTCACAGTGCAATTAAATTTGCTGAGGTCGTAGCCTTTATTTAATTTGTTAGAAAAATTAAATAAGTGAAATTATGTTTAAATGTGTGTTCGCATATATTTAAATATATTATCATTATTGTTAAATGTTAATAAATATATCTAAATATATATTTAATTGATTTTAATTGAGATAATGATGGAAAATAAAATAAATCAAATTGGGAGTGTTTGGCAACATAGGGTGTTTGGGTTGGAGCCCAAGCCTATTCCATATGGGATTAGGGCAAATTGATTAACTATAAAAAGAAAAGTGTGTGTGTTAATTAATAAATTAATTGATTTCTTTTAAAAATTAAAACACACAGCAGCCCTCTCAATCACTCCCACGGCAGAAACCTTTCTTTGGCCTAAATCAATTTAATTTGATTTCTTTTCTTCTTAATCTTGAAGCTAAAGAGGATCTAGCAAATCCCTCTTTGGTTCTTTTGAGATTGTCTTCTTGTGGACTACGTGGGTTCGATCCTACACTTGGATCGGTAGCAAAACGTTCAAAGACAATCATGGTGGAGCCTCCAAACGTGCGTATGGTTTCTAAACACAGATTATTAATTTCTGCAGATTCTTGCTTTAATATGAATTGTAAAATTATACCTTTGATCTTGGCTCATGTAAACGATCCTTGTATTTTATTTTATTTGTTTCCGCTGCGTATATGGGACCGTTTACTAACAGTGGTATCAGAGCCTAGGGTACTGAATTTTACAATTTTTATGTGTATGGTTGATAACAAGTATTTGATGATAATATGTTGCCATATTGAATCTGCGTAAATCTGTCTTAAAACATGTTTTTAAGAAATTGATTAATCAATTAATTTTTAATTTGTTGATGATCTGCTAGTTTGGTATAATGGTTGATGGATTTTTGTTGAGATCAATGTGTTTAATTGATTGCAAAATCCATTTAGAGTGTTTCTGGTTGCTGTATGAACAAATCTGGAGCTACAGATCTGTGTACGCTCGCCGCGGCGATATAACCCATCGCTGCAACGAGCGTTGTTCACGCTGGCACTGGTGACGAAACCAGCGCTTGCCGTGGTGATATAACCCATCGCTGCAGCGATCGTCCTCTGGACGAGCGCTGTATGAAAAACAACGCTCGCCGCGGCGATATAACACATCGTCACGACGATCGTCCTGAGGATTGGCGCTGTACCAAATCGTCGCGGCGATAGAGCGTGGACGTCAAGTAACCAACATACACTGCAGTGATCTAACTCATTGTCGTAGTGAGCGCAGTTTCGAGTGCATAGGGGCTAAAATGTAATGTTTTAAAACTTTTGGAACAAACACAGATCTGCAAATTGTCAGGGGGTAAATTTATTTAACCCACTAATTTCAAAAATTGATTGTTTTTGAAATGTATGCTTTGTACTTGTTTTTATATTGCATGGTGCCCAGTACATGAGCCTTAGACGTAAGGGTGAATGTTTAAAATTTTTTTTGGTATGTATGGTTGTATTTTATTAAATAGGGCCTGCGCGTCCTGCCTTTCTCCTTTTTCTTGATATACATTCTCTTCTCATCTAACTCCCCTCGAATGTAAATCGAGGTTTCTAAATTTATTGATGTAAAGAATTTTGTATTATTATTCTTTTGTAAATTTAAAAGTTTTGTAATGTACTTGAAGATGGAGCAAAGAACGAGGCAACCATACTTGAAGACTCGAGATGTTTATTATAGGACCCCTAGGTGACTCACCGATTCCTCTAGGCTCGAGGAAATCGGTTTTAGTTGTGCCATGTACCGGCACGTTTAATTTTTGTTTAAAAGGCATGTTAAGGTTGAATGTTTAATAACATGCCAAACAATGTCATTCTAACAAAGATAATAATCTGATGAGACATTAAATAACAAACCCCTCAACTGAATTATATTAAGTCACGTAAGCCTTCCATCACCATGGTTTTAATCAAACCACTATTTGTCAAAACCTTGTTCGCCAAAGCGAAGGGTACACTTCTACCAGTGGGAGGTTAAAATACATTGGAGTTTTCCTTAATGGTGATGGGTCGACTTAAAATGACGGTTGTGCTTTCGCCAAAGCAAAGGTTGATAAACGCGTCATAGGTATAGTAGAGTAGTACACATATTATGTGTACATGGTGACATGTAGTGTCTACTCTACTGATACTGAGAATCATACTTGAGGACAATGGTTGAACATGGATTGTGTGATGGCTTGTTGGCTTTCTCACATTTGAGGTTGATAGTGGGAGCTATCAAATGGTGTGGATTAAGTTTGTTGGCCTAGCTAATCAACTCATTTTGGCTTGCTCGCCAAAGCGAAGGTTTGAAATGGGTAGGATGGGATCTTGGTCCACTAGGAAAGTCAACGGCTTTCCCGAGTTAATAGTGAGGGCTATTGGCCTGAGTAAATAGGGAGATCGTTTAATAAAAGAACCATATTAAATAATAATGAACTTTATAATAACTTTATCTTTTCTGCAATTGTAGATCACCAAAATGAGCATTAGAACCTGCGACTGATAATCGAGAAAGAAAACAGGTTGGATGGATCCATTTCTCAGACTGGTATCGTAATCTTCAGATTATACTCAAGT